TTTTATACGAAAGAATCCTTCGTAAGTCTATTATGGATTATAAATGCGACTATGGAAGAACTTCCGGTTTAATTTTATTAAATTATACCCAATCATTAAGAAAGTCCATCGTACGAACACTAAAAATTCGTTGTAATTCGTTGCATCTTGCGACCTAACCTTAAAAATCACTTACTACGTATATCGATACGAATCTGAAATACGAGATATTGGTGAATAAGAATTCGAGTATAGGATGTCTTCGATGTTCTTGCGAACGAAATTTAACGTGTACGTGACATCTATCGTGAACTTTTGTAACGATAGAGGAAAGAAAATATTAACCTTGACAAAGCGTATACGTATACACGGAGGCAGGCTAGAAACTGTCGAAAGCTGCGATTCGAGTGACATCCACCGGAGGCAAGCAGCGTCGTTAAAGGTAGGGGAAGTGGAATTGCCGGAGAGGGGGAGAAACAGGAGGAACGAACGTGCACATTCGACTTCTCCAGGGCGCAACGACACGATTTGACACGATTCAACACGATTCGACACGATTCGACACGATCCGACACGATTCGATACGATCCGACACGATTGTCGTTGCTCTACAGAATAGTATGGAGTATTGTATATAAATAGATCGACCGACTCTCTGTTCGTTAATGTTATGTACGCAACTCGTATGCTTATGCGACACTGCCTCCTTTTCATATTGATTTTTACCAAGGTTTTCTCGACTGCTTATTAACTTTCCATCAATTTTCTTTAGTCAAATTTATTCCCGATACTCGATATTTTCGAGAAGCGTTACGGAGAAACAAATACGTTTTATATTCTTGGCTAATAAAATGAAATAATTAAACTTTTATTTTTCTTTCACGAAAATATTACTCGTTATCTCTGCGTACGTCTACTTTATTTAACGTTGCAATTATCTTATTCGTTACTATCCCATGAAGGTTTCTTTAATATTATGGTAATTTTGTTTTTTATGCAATTACAGATGATCGAATCGTCACATTTCTATAAGTTCAAGAGTTATCTAACGTTATGACACATCTGAGCTTCGAGTTTTTACGAGAGAAACCTCCTCGTTAGTAATCTTTACACCGAGTTAGCATAAAAATGGTAGAAATTATATTTTTCATAGGTTAACCCGATGAATCAACATAGATAAGTAATTATTTTTAACTTCATTTATACATTTTACTTACAAGGTTCTTAAATTTAATTCAATCTAAGATGTCCTTGCAGATTAAGGCCTCTGATTATAAGCATAACCGAATGGCAAACGATTCGTCTACGTGAAATTATACGACATATATATATATTGCAACGAAGAAGGTCGCCAGCCAGCGTTCTGTTTAGGGTGTACAACTCATGATACGAACCTACGTTTTACTAAACCAGTTGGTAAGAACCATCTGGACTAAACCGGTATGCATGAAAGTAATGTTACCATAGCAGTTACTATTAGAGCACAGCGTGCATAAAACGCGATTCTGATGAGCCAACGTTTTATTTTCGGGTTTGTTTGAAACGTAAGAATCGAACATTTTTTCTTTATAAATGATTTTTTTTCCGTCACCAGATGATCATATACGTACTACTAGTTCTTAAATAAATGATTTATACAGAGATCGTTGACATACTATATACAAAATAAGCGTTAAAAATTTCCAATTATTTACTTACATCTATAGCAAAAAAAAAAAAAAAAAAAAAAAAATTGGAAAAATAGTATAATGTAAGTGGTATACAAAAATTATTGATCGAAACTACTAATTGTTCGAGAGTGGATTCTGAAACGTATATTATTGCAGATCGACGATTACATAAGACTAGATGAATAACAGAACTACCGACAGGAAAGTATGTAGATACAAATGTTTCATGTCATGTAAGTAATTTGTTATTGAAGCTGAAGACACAATTTTCAAACGTGTACGATGCCAAAAAGAAAAAAATAGCACGGTTCGTGTGTCTAGCTTTCAAATAATTTTTTATTTTCATTATAGTACGTGAAGTTTATTCGTATAACTACAATTGCGATAGTAAAAAATTACGAAAATAAAATTAAACAGGATAATATCGTTTTACAGTATTTGGAGGTATTTCTATATTCCAAAGTATTGATTTCATAGAATAAAGTAAAGTTGGGATCGTAGGAGACACGGATGGTCATAAATTAAAAAATTAAGCTACGGCGTTGATTGAAATAGCCACACCCACAGATGTACGCATGTGTATATAGAAGCATCTCGAACTCCACAGTTATAGGTTATGGCAGTTGTTTGTGACTTGATATTTAAATTTCCTTGTAACATATGCGGATAGTATTAAATATAACAAGTTATGTATTTTTAGAATCAGCTTTCTAAATTCTATGCTGTACAAAATTGTATCAAGGACACAATTCTACGAAGAAAGAAAGAATTGGCAGTTGACATTCTCCTGACATATCTTCCTACGACTCAAATTGCTTCCTTGACATTCGAAACATGTAAACTTTAACGCCTGAACAATTCTTGTAACCTTACTATATCGCTTTCACTATAAGTATAGTGATTTCGTTACACGTATAGCCATGTTTTATCTGGATTAATACGTACTTTGAGCCATATGAGCGTGTAATATGTAAAGAGTGTGTATTTATTAGGATAAAAAAGAAATTTCTGTAGAGCAAATGGACTAGGTGAGAATGGCCCATTGCGTTTAGTAGATCATCTCGTGATATATATTTCTAAACTTATAAATAGTTATTCGTCGGTATTATTAGAAGATACCTAATTAGCAATAAGAAATGTGATCCCGATACGATGGATCTCCTACATAGTTTATTATCTCACTGAAATAATACACACTGTACAAAATATTACATATGTAAAAATCTATGTGAAAATCAGTAAAAGAAAGAAATAGTTCAATAAAATGATCGATTAGATTATCAGGCATGTTGGGTCGGATTTCAATAAAATATGTAATTTGGTCTCACGAAGACTATCAGAATTATCAACATTTTCGAAATATATTATGGTTTGTGTATAATCTTATGGAGAGAGTCGCAGAAGTATTTGTCAATTTGGACGGTGCTTATTTATATATAGTATATTTTATGAAATTCTTATAAAGGAAATAACTGAACTTTCAAAACACTATAAATATTATTGATAAACTACATGTTAATATAACAAAAATAGAAATTTAAATAAATTTCGACAAAACTTTATAATATTTTTATAATATTTCTATAATGTAATATTTCTATAATATAAAAATATTATAAGTATGAAGAGCCGATCGATAAGTCGAGGAAGACTATTTGTAAATAATTTGTGAATAATATGAAATTTGAATAATTTTTTCGATACGAATATTTCTGCGATGCGAATTTTGTTCAATTTTTATTATATTAACATCTTCTTTTTACAATAAAATTTATAGCGTTTTTTTTTTTAATTTTAATTTATTTAATTATTCCAACGTACAGTGTTCTTTATAAGAATTTTATAAAATATACTATAAATAAATAGCAACCATTCAAGGTCAGCAATAGGAAGAGAATGGTTATGTGAATCACTACATAAAAATTAAACAAAATCTGATAATGCAAGAATTTAGTGATTTTTTGGAGAATAAGAATAAGGAAGATGAACGAAGAAAGTTTATATTTTTGATTTATATTTAACGTTCAATTCCAGTTGGTTTATGATAAAATGTGGAAAAATGAATGCAGAAGCGTAGAATAGATATTTTGTACAATACTTTGTTCTAATGTACATTTTTTACAAACAACCAAAATACCGATTACCGTTTTTACAAAAGTCTTAAAATTAAAATTTCTATTAACAACTTGTGAACGCGAGTAAACGCATACAATGGTAACTTTTTAAGTGAAAAACTAAGGGTTCTAGTCTTCGTGACTGGTCGAACATTGTGAATAATGTATAATAAAATAAATA